GAGTGGGTATTATCTGCAAGTGTGGGTGTTCTTGTGCATATGCCATCTCTTCTTATCAGCTGGGCACTTCACTGTCCTAGTCCTCTATCACTGACTCTGGGCCGAAGAGTCCCCAGGTCTTGGCACACTGCTGGCCAACCAGGTCTCCAGCCAGGTTCACAAGAGTCTATTGAACATTGTAGGGCTTAGCTCGCAGCTTCATTGCTGTTTTTCCCTCACTTCCACCTATTGGTGACGACCGTGGTCACCAATCAGAGTGTGTATTCCCATTGAGTCTTAGTCTTGGAAGGGGGTTTGCTCTGAGGGGACCCGACCACTTGCCTTGATGTCTCCTGGGCAAGCAACTTGCTTGTTCTTGTAGTAATCAGTAAGTCTACCTGTATTGTTTTCTATTTTTCCTGTCGGTCTTTCTTTCAAGAAGTATCTTCTGTTGTTGTAACCACTCCAGGCTGGTCTGCCCGTCCTTTCAAGTGGAAATTTTCCACCTCTGAAGATTCTGAATGCTGTTCAGGATTCCACCTATGGTCTTATGTAATGCAGAGGCTCCACAGGAAGCATCCTTCACTGGCACTTTGTAGCCCCATTTTAGGTATTCCAATAAGTTATAGACAGAAGACAGACTTGCAACCTTTCTATGGTGATATTTCTGGCTATTCCTTTCTCTCCACCTCCAGTGTCTATTTTATAATGGTATGCCAGGGAAACCAAGATTCACAAGACAGCCAGGCATCTTAACATTATTTCCCCCCTTTTCCCCATTCCAACCATGTCTCAATCCCTGTATCCCAGAGCCCTGTTTTTCCAGGATTGTGCATATATCATTCTTTACCTCTGTCCCACTTAGCCCATGCAAACCTGCCAAGTTGTTCTCCCATCCACTTTGTTCCTCCATTCCCATCCTCCTTCTTGTATATTGCCCCCTTCTTTTGCATCCAAACTATTCTGTGTCTATTCCCTGCCCTGTGCTCCACCATTCCCTCCCTCCCCTCACTCTACCCCCCACATCTCAGCAACCAGCAAAGAATCCCCTCCTCTTTAGTATGGGTTCTTTTTCTTAGTCTTTTACAATAGTGGTCCTATGCAGTATTTCTCCTTTTGTGACTGACTAATTTCACTCAACATAACATCCTCAAGGTTCACCCATGGTATGCGGTGGCTTGCAGCTTCCTTGCTATTCTTCAAGGTAGTATAATATTCCATTGTGTGTATGTACCACAGTTTGTTTATCCATTCTTCAGTTGATGGCCACTTTGGCTGTCTACATCTTTTTGCTGTTGTAAATAGTTCTGCTATGAACATTGGTGTGTATATATCTATTCATGGTATGGCTCATATTTCTTGTGGGTAAATACCAAGTAGAGGAACTGCTGGATCATAAGATATTTCTATTTCCAACCTTCTGAGGAAGCCCCATATTGCTTTCCAGAGAGGTTGG